TTAGAATTGCAATAATCCCCTCATTCTTGCAAGAATGTAAACAGGACACCAGTAAGGGACATTTCCTCATGGAAAAGTCTCCTCCAAGCAAGAACCTTCACCCACTTCGTGGTAGCAATGGGTATCATTTTGTCAGCCCTAGACATTATCAGCAACCTCAAACTGAGCTCCCTCAGCCTGGAGGGAGGGAGAGATAGATCATTAAAGTGGGGGAGAAATAGCAAATTTCAGGTTAACACAGCAGGCAGGCCATCCTAAGGAGAAACATTCATAGGAATTTATCATCAGGCTTCTAAATAATTTCATTCCTTTTTTTTATTTTTAAAAGAATTTTTTGTAGAGACAGAGTCTTGCCCTGGCTGATCTTGAACTCCTGGCCTCGAGTGATCCTCTCAAAGTGCTGGGATTACAGGCCCAAGCTCCTGCACTCAGCCTATTCATTTAAATAGGCACTTTTAAATGCTTACATCAGACCTGACACTGTTTCTCATCTGGACACCAATTTTGCTTACATGTCATACCCCTCATCATCTAGAATCATACTCAATGTTTTTGGCTCAGCTCAAACCCCATCTCTTCTAGGAAGCCACCTAAGATGTCTCCTATGCTTCCCTCCTGGGTGCTCCCAGCCAGGACACTAATAAAATAGCACTGTTCTGTGCTGTCCTGAACTGTGTATATCCCTCTCCCCACAAGTGTCAGCTCCCTGAAAAAAGGGTCTCAATCTCGTGTCTGCACCACTGAGATGGTCTTTCCTAATCTGCCCTTTGAAATGAGATTTAAGGCCCTGAAAGGTGGGTTATCGCTCACCCAAATTGAGATTTAAACCACTTGGTTTAAATATATGGGAAGCAGCCTTCTCCTCCTTGGCTATTGGTAATGTCTGGATTCAGCAAACAATGAAGGGGGAGCTGCAGGTGGGGAGGAGGTAAATGGGTGGCCCATCTGGATTATTTGTGCTAATTACAGGCAAAATCAGACTGGTTAATTTGGGGTAACCGGAGCTGAATTATACAAATAATTATGTAGTTCCTTCCTCTACTGGCAAATATCACACTCTATGATACACTTAGGTATTTAAAGCCATTTTCCCCATCTCTGTATCAAATATGCTTTAGAGAGTTGTGAGTTGACACCTCATCCAGATATAATGGGATAGAAATGGAGAAATTTCACGTTTTGTTCTAGAGCTGCCAGCATCAAGGCCCCCAAGCTTCTTTTCTTAATATAGTGACTTTTGCTATTTCCCGGTGGGAAAAGTTTGGTGCAGGAATCATTACATCTTCCTTCTTTTATCTCTGCCCAGGTAGTCACAGGGGAAAGAATACCTAACCCCATCACCACTACACAACTAATTTTGCTGTTGAAAAGTAAGATTTTGCATGAAGTTTGCACATGTTGATGTATTTTCACAGTTTTTTTTTTTTTTTAAATCAAGGATTCAGAAATTCCCTTCCTTCCCGTGATACTTGTTTTCATGTGGGCCTTTCAGAGAAGCATTTTTCTTAGAAATTTTCAGTCTTTTTAATGCAAAGAGTCCCCCAAGCAGGCAGAATACATCGTGTCCTAGCCAAACGTTAGGTCGGAAGAAACTGTTTGAATTGCTTGATAAATGGCAGAGTTTAACAAGCTCCTATAACTATTATTTTTTCAAAAAAAAAAAAAAACTCCATCTAACAATTCAAAATAACCCCATCTTATCATTTCAAATGTTTCATTCCAATTCCTATAAAATTGTTTCCCTGACCAATTAGGGAAAAAAATCTACCTCGATTTTAAGAAGAAAAAGACCTTTAAAGTTTCTAAAAGTAAGAATGGCTAGAAAGTTTTATCTTTCTCGAATAGGCATTTGGAAAAAATATATGGATATATTTATTTATTTATGGTGTGAGAGCAGAATTGCTACCCTTGCTCAAAGGAAAAGGTTTTTGAAATGAAATGACACAAATTTATATGTGCGTGTTTGTAGAATTAATACGCATGTATTCACTGTAGCGGTGAGATTTCCTGCTAGGGGAATCCGCTTTGGCAGAAGTAACTCGGTTTAGGGAGCATTTAAGGAAATTTTAATATCCAAACAAAAGCTGTATTACCATCGATACCCACTCCCTCCCCCAGAGGAAAAACAATTAATAATTTGCATATGCTCACGACATAAATTAAAGACAAAGGGCCCCTGACGGGCTGTGGGTACTACGCAGCCCTCAGCAGGCTGCACAGTCCCAGCGCCGAACTGTTCTAGCTTCACACGAATTGCATTACGCTCCATAACTAAAACGAGGGGTTCTGGGCCCTCTGGCCGTTTCCCACTGTAGAATCATGTTTCCCCAATCAGAAACATCTCCCAATGTCTCCACGAGCTTCTAGGCAAAAAAGAACATATAGTTCCAAGGGGGGGAAATGCATATATACTTTGCCCTTTTTATTTTAATGGCCAAACATTGTAATGCTAGCTAAATAGAAATTCTTGTCTGTTAATAGGTTCCTTTAGCTTGTAATAAATAGGAATGCTAATGACTAAAATTTGGTATTTGGTATGCATTAGCTTTTGTGAGCTTTTCTTTACAGCCCTCATTGACATGCAATATGGCAAGCTTCCTTTGAAACATATTTATAAAATAACTACAGTATAATTAAACCAACAAAGCCATCTTTTAAGTAAGCTTAATAGCTCAGTTTTTTTTCACCTCGGTAAAATTTATTTAAAAAAAGAAAAATAGTTATGCCTCAATCCCACTGTATATTTTATTCTGTGCATCTAATATTTCCTTTGCATCTACGATCTATGCATATCTAATTCTTTTTGACAACTATGATTATTAATAAAGTGCTCGTGAAAGATATGCTTCATAGCTTCTTCAACAAGAATAATGTTTTTTTGTTAATGGAAATTGTAACATATCTTGACAGATACAATATATAAGATGTGCTTTTTTCTTAATTGTTAATATTGCTGTGCTGAATACACAAGGAGCAGATCAACAGATATGGCAGGTAATAATCAGAGCGGATTCTATTTTATACAATGTAACTAAAAATATTTTAATGATATAAAAGCAATAGATAAATAAAAGCAATTATATTTAATTTTGCGTTTGGCGTGCCGGCAATTTTTGGTGGTTGTTGCTGCTCTTGTCGGTGTGTTTAATAAAGGAGGAAGCTCGGAGCGCAGAGTAATCGGTACCGAAGCGGCTCAACCTTCTTGCAGCCCAAGGGTCCTGCAAGCTGCCCTTTCTCAGCTCTCCGCAGCTTCAGCGTCCCTGGCGCGCAGGGCCAGGCTGAATGCTAATTCGGGATACACAGGGGCTCAAGTTCACTGAGTTTTCCGCAGTTTTGCAAACCGTTCCCCTCTTCCCACGTCTTGCGGTTTAACATCACCCGATTTCCCAAAACACACCAGGCGCGGGACTAGAGCCACCACAGCGGACCCCTGGCCGCTCGGCTCTGCCCCACGCCCCTCGCTCCCTTCCCCCGAAACTCGGTCCTCTCCGCCGAGGGCCTGCCTCGCCCCGGCCCACCCCCCGCGCGGAGAATAAACAGTTGACATCACTGTTAAATCTTTATTTAAAACTGTTTCCAAGGTTACAAATTACCGTGCCTCCTATGCAACAGGTTCCTCCGAAGAGGTATCATTACAGATTAACTGTAATGTGTAGGATTAGAATAAAAGCATAAGGGATTAGGTAAAAGGGGCGACGCTCGAGAAATAACGCCCGAGCGGGTCTCGACTGCGAGTCAGCGGGGGAATCCGCGAAGACGCTGGGCGTTGGGGCGCCGCGGCGCCGCCGAGCTGGACCCGGTTCCTCCGCTCCCGGGCCCTGGCCCCAGAGTGGTTAGGGGCGGCATCGCCAGAAGGACTAACACGGCCAGAGGCTTCCTGGACAACAGGGACTAGAGACGGGGCTCCAGGGCGGGGAAGGTGGGGGGCCGAGCGGCCGCGGAGGCAGAGGGCGGAACTAGGCCTACGGCCCGGCTGGGGGCTGCCAGAGCACGGCGCCCGGGACTTGGTTCCGTAGCCTTGCGAAGCGCCGGGAATGCGGTGAGGGCAGCACACCCACACGGGGGTCACTGGGTTTATCCAAGTGGCTGATGCTGCCATCAAGTCCCAGGCCTGATGGGGCCCCTCTTGGCGTCCTGCAAACCTCCACACCACCGGCTGGGGCAGGGGGCCGGGGAGGGGGGCAGCCGGCAGTGGGGTGGGCCCCGGCGCAGGCCGCCCGTGCCCTTCCGAGCCCAGGACTTGGGCCTTCTCCCGCCGAGGCCATGCACCCCATTGGGCCACCTTCCCGCCCGGCCATCCCCTGCCCCTCTAGCTCCAAGGAAGGCCCCAGCACTCCCTCTCCCTTCACACCGCTTCCTTCGGGCCATGGCTCGCCGCGCTGGCCCCCGCTGGACTCGGGCCTGCCCTGGGCCACGGCCCCGGGCAGCTGACGCAGCCCCGAGAGCTGTTTGCGTGTCGGGGTGGAGGGCGAGGGGCTGGAAAAACAAACAAGGCCGGGGCACGGAGGCTTGGGGTGGGGGCCGGCTGGGGGCCGGAAGGAAGTGCGCAGTGTGGCGAGAGCGCCAAACAAAGCCCTCTCGGGAGCCCCATCACCCCGCGGTGACCCCGGGCCCGCCCCGCTGAGCCAAGGGGCTCCGGGGCCTCGCCTCCGAGCAGGCCGCTGCGCCGCCGCTGCCCAGGCCCGGGCGCTCCTCGGTCCCCGCAGGCCGAACCCGCGGCCAGCCCCGAAGGCGCGAGGGACAGCGCGGCCGGCGGTTAAGCCTCACCCCGCCTGGAGAGCCAACAGAGAGAGGCCGAGGGGATGTCCACGCTGATGTCCTCCGCGAGGAAGCGGGGCGACTCTGGGGCGCGCTGGAGCCACAACTCTGCCAACAGTTGGCGAGGGGTGGAGCGGGCTCCCGGGTGGTTGGACGTGGAGACCAACTTCGCCGCGACTCCTGCTTCCTAGAGAAGGGCCCTGGCTGAGGAGGCGGCGGGAGGGGACTGTTGCAAACAGCTGTTCCTCATACATATTTCATTACACAATCAGATAATGCGTCCCACCACCTTCTCAATTATTCGCAGATAAACATTTTCAAGACGTTTTGACATCTGTCTTAGTGCCTGCTATTAATTTAGTAATCACTGTAGTTAAAAATGTATGGGATTTTTGCCGTCGGAGCACCTCCTCTCCGGCGCGCGGGCCCTGTGTTGGGCTGCGGCTGGGAGTCCGGGCCCTCTGGGAATGAAGACACCTCAGGAGGTGAGACGGCCGCTCTAGTGCGTTGACACTGTTGATGGAAGGGATTAAAGGAGTGTCAAGTTATTTTAATTTGTTGTAGATGATGACTATCCCCTCCCCCACCCACATACCCTCCTCACTTTGCCACCCCATCCCTAGACCCTACAACAATGCTCAGCCCTTTGCCCCGGGCAGCGGAAATGGTTAGGCTCGTCCAGGAGGCGAGATTCTGTTGAGGGAGACGCAGCAACTCAAGTCGGCTTAGAGAGAGAGAAGCCACAGAATCACTGAGAATGATTTCTCACAACAAAACACCTAACAATACAAAGATCCCCACTCCGGAGGTCACAAACCTCTTCGGTTTGCCCTGAGCCCTGTGGCCCTGGCAGAGGTGACAAGGGCGTTTGGGAAAGACAGAGAAAAATAAATTCGCTCCAGTGACTGTACATGGGGCATTTGGGGCTATGAGAAAACGAGTTACTTTTCTGCTTGAGTGATAAACGTTGCAATGGGCATAGCTACATACACACAAACAGGTTTTAAAATCAGACAAGCAGAGTTTGAAGAACCTCACAGGATTGGAAGTATTACAATAGCAAATATTTCAACTACAAAATGCTTTTATTTATTATTAGGAGGGTTCTAAATAAACTTTTACCCAAAGAAGAGGGAAGAAAATAACCATACCCAAAGGTAAACCGAGTTTGTTTCTTTGTGTTTTGAATCTTAGCTTCAGGGGATGAACGTTACACTTTGAGTTTGAGAGTGATGTCTCATTCATTTCTTTCTCTTTCTGCCACAGTCTCTCTTTCAGGTGAGTCAGCAGGTGGACTCTCATTTGGGAATGAGGAAAACAAATCTAGGGAAAGAAAAATGGCCTTGGAAGAAATTGCCTTCCAACGAAGGTTGTGACTCCAATGTGATTTTCACTCTTTATTGTTTAAAACATCCACAAGAACAAAGTCTTGCTAAAATTTCCAGGAATTAACTGTATCTAAAAAGAAAAGGACACAGTGTTTGTCCTCAAAAGAGAAGAAATTCTTCCCTACTCACACCCCCACACCCCCTCTGTTTCTAGGGCAACTACATCTGCAGAAATATGTCCTCCTGCGGTGTTTTCGGGTGGTTCATTTCTTCTTCACAAAATGGACCCTCCTTTGCCCCTTGGAGAGTGGTCATCTGACTTTTTGGCCCAGAAAGTCCCGTTTTTCCTTTTCTTTCTTTTTCTTTTCTTTTTTCTTCTTTCTTTATTTCTCTCTTTCTCTTTTTTGTCTAAACAAATCTTTCTGGACTTATCCTCTACTTTCGTGTGACAGAAGGAGGTTCAGAAGATGTGCTCGGAAAAGAGAAAGCTGGGAAGGCAGGTGAAGTGGAAGGGACGGCACCACTGCACCCAGGGAGCCTGCCTCTTCTGCAGGAAACCCCAGGCCAGCCACCAGAGCTGGGTGGGCAAACGGAGTTGACACTGAGAACAAGCCTGAGCAGTTGCTTAGTATTTGCCTGAAAGCCACTCTGAGAACCCCTCTCTGCAACCCCCCAGCTGGGCCGGGATGTGGAGCTGTGCCTGGGACTGGGGAGCTGTGGGTGAGAACTTCCCAATCTCTCACAAGGAAAATTTTAATAAGCTAAATAATTGCATTTGCTTTGGAGTGTTCTTTTTAAAATTTATTTGATATACGGGGTATTGGGATGGAAACAGAGGCAGTAAGGCATGGATCTGAGCTAATATGTCCTTTTTAATAACTAAATTTAGGATAGGAGGTATGAATGGGGACAAAATAAGGACCTTTCAGCTTCTGGAATCCTGATTAGAGCTGAAAGTTCCTATTAGGAATTAAGAATCTCCTGGAAGTGAGTGAGGACTTTTACGCTCTCCACCCAAGTCATTCAGAATGCAACCTCCTAGGCCAAAAATAATACCAAACAAATATTTTTAAAATCCTGGTCAACATAAATCTTTCCTGGATTGCCCTCTTCTGGGTGTCTCCAAAAGATCTGAGAGGAAGGTGAACAGATTGGCTCTGGAGTGGATAAGGCATTGGTTCTTTCCAGTTGCCATGACTTGACCTGAAACCTTTCACCCAGTCGGCTCAACAAAGTTTCTCCTTCCGGGCCAACGTCCCCTCTAGCAGGAAGCCCTTGGCCTTGCGGCCTACATGCTCAGCCAACTTTCCCTGTGAGCGGCTTCCTGCCCTCCTGTCTGGGGTCACTCCGCGCGCCGCACTGTGGCTTTTTTATCAGCATCTGGACAACTGGGTGTGCACCCGTGCATTCGAATAATTATGCCTGTGGACACTTCTTTATTCCTCAGATTCTTCCGTTAGTGTTTAATTCTCCCGTGTGTATTCGGGTACAATTGTATGTACGTTCCATGCACAATCAGGTGACTCAGATTGAATTTGAGCTCAGATGTGCTCGAACCCCTGGGTCTGCGTGGGGAGGAGAAGGTGTGTAAGTGCAAACGCGTGGCCTTGGGTGGGATGTAAGGTTGATAAGGCTTTCCAGCCCCAGGGCCCTCTAGGCCTCTTTTACACCTTCATCTGCCCAATTTCTTAACCTTTAAGGAAGAGGGAGATGCTCCGACGATCCGCGCCCCGTAACCCTTCGAGAAGGCGGGTACCAGCCTCTAGGACCTCTCTTGGTGGATTGTTCCTGGGCCAGGTCGAAAGGGGCGGTGGGGGAGGGGCCGAGGTCTCGAGGTCGCCCGCACCCCCTTCCAAGCCACTTCGCTGCCGAATGCGCCCTGGGGCTCTGGGGAGGGTGGGAACACAATAGTGGAAATCCTGGCGCTACGAGAAGGGTGATGCGTACGTTTAGGGGCGAAACTCTGCTGGGAGCAGCCGTATTTGCAACTCAAAACTGACCTGGGACCGCCCCCTTGGCCCCTCCTCCAACCCCCACCGCGACTCGTCGGGCTCTTCGGGCTTCCAGAGCGCTCATCCCAGCCACCCCCAAGCACCCTGGGGCCGCTCCAACCTTGGGAGGCCTTAGGGGTAGGCTATGAGACTGGACTGGGAAGAAAGGGGACCAAGAAGGGTGGCCACGGCTCTCCTGCTGGCGGTCCGGTCTAGTCCACTGCCAGAATCCGCTTTTCCGGCCGCGCTTCTACTTGTCTCAGGGGCCAGCGGGAGCGCTGGCCTCGGGTGTACGGAGGTGAGGGGTGTGGTGTCCGTGCACGTGTTCACGTGCGACTGGAAGCGGTTCCCTAGGCGTTCCCGAAATCTCGTAGATGTGTTTCCTGTGAGAAAGATGCGGACTTGCGGCTAACTTCAGGTCAGTTTGCTCGTAAAGGGCGAATGTCAGTCCGATGGTTGGACGTTGTGTCTCTCCTGCGCATTAGGACAAAGTGAAGCCACCTCTCCCTCTCCCTCATGCAGCCTCCCAGGCCAGGTCAAAAGGTCCAGGCCCCAGGCCTTCTTGTGCAACCCCGTTCTCTGATCCTAGGGCCTAAGATGCCCTGGTACCCACTTAGGGTGAGGCTGGAAAACTTACATGGGAAATGGAGACTGGAAGAGCTCCCCCCACATCCATTGCAGGGTGGAGTCCCCACCACGGCATATTGGACCTACCGACCTGGAATCTCTCTGCCGACCCAGTCTGGAATCCAGATAGGCGGCGGCGGGGGAGGAAGGGATGATAAGGAAGTTGGGTTGGTACAGAATGGAAGTGGAGTTGGAAGGAGGGAAGAAAAACAAACAAGACTGGGTGGGGATGTGGAGTTGGCTAAGGATGGGGTGGGGATGGAGTTGGGGCTGCCTCGGAGAGCGGCGGCTTTTCACCCTGCTACAGGGAGGTGCGTCTGGCTGCGCCGTTGCCTCCCCCCAAATAAAGCTAATGATGTAGTAATTTAGGAGGGGGTGAGGGGCTGGGCAAAAGGAGGGAGGGGAGAGGATGGGGGAACGCGCGCCCCAAGAGCGAAAGCAAACAGCTGTGGAGGCGCTGCCTGTGGCTCAGGCTTCCCAACAGGTTAGCCATACTGAGATCCGCCCGGCATTTCGCAGGAAGGGGGGGAGACAGAGCGAGAGGGGGAGAGAGCCTCACAAGAGGACAGAGCGACGGAGGGAAAGAGATAGGAGCCAGAGTGCGCACCGCGCAGCTTAAGAGGACTTACTAATGAATATTTATCCGCCGCTGCTTCATGCTCCTGGCTTCCCTTACCTTTCTGCAGGTAAGATCTTCCCTGCGCCCCATCCCGGGGGGTCCCCCTAGCTTCCCCGTCGGGGCGCCGGTGGCCCGGCGGGAGGGCTCTTGGCAGACGGAGGTGGGAGGGCGGCTCTGCTCCGCGCTGGGCTCGGGCGGCGGGGCGTGAGACCCCGCACGACCGAGAACCGCGCGTGGGCTACCTGTGTGGAATGGGTATGACTGCGTGTGTACGAGTGTGCGTGTGAGACAGAGAGACAGAGAGAGACAGAGACTGCGCCCACAAGCGCGCGCGCCTGTTTCTGGCGCGCTCTAGGGACATTTTCCGACTTTTCACTGGGGCGCCCTGGATTTCTCGCCTTGCCTGTTTCCCCTCCCCCTCTTTTCACCCCCTTCACGTCCCCCACCTCACCCCACTCCACTCCACCCTACCTCACCCCACTCCAGCCCTATCCCCGGCTGCTGAGACGCTCTTCTGTGGACTATTGTGCCACTGGTGCGGGCTCCCCCCGGATCCCGGGTCTCTCATGAGGAAGGATGAATAATAGTTTGGTTTCCGCCGTAAACCCCCACACAAAGGCCGCCCGGCCCCCAGTCCCCTGTCCCCCTTCCTGCAAGCTTCCCTGGTGAGGTGCTTCGGCCGCACTCTTTCTCTCTCCCCCTCTCAGGGCCCCAGGGCCCAGACCAAGGAGCTAAGAGAGATCGGGACTCGGGGTACGGGGTGGAACTCCTTGGGGGCCGCCCTACAGGCTTCCTGGGCTGGAAACTCGAGCCCAAGACTCCAAGGGGAGGGCGTCGCTTCCTTCCCCACCCCCCACAGCCACTACCGCCCCTGCCATCCGGCCAGAGAAGCACCGGGAACTCGGGCCTGCCTAGGGATAAAGAGGGAGGGGAAAAGGAAGGGGTTCGGGGAGGAGCTGACGACATAACCAGAATTCTTTAAACTGACTTACCCGGACACCTGTTGAGAATCCATTTGGGGTCGGCTGGCTCCGGAGCTGCCTCGAGGTGTACAACACAAAACCAAAAGCCAAAGTTGGAAAAAGAAAATTCTTTTTCTGATCATGCTGGACGCGAACGGTCAGGCTCCGGGCTCTGCGCTAGGGTTGGCTGGCTGTAGCGCCGAGAGTGTCTTTGCCAGGTCCCGCCACCCCAGCGGCCCACTCATCCCACGCCTCCGCGGCCAGAGACTCAGAGTCCGCCGACTCCGTTCTCAGGGCCCGGCACTGGCAGCTCGGCTTAAGCCTGGGCAGGCTTTCTAAGCCCTGCTCAGAAGTCAAGAGCAACAGTGCTGCCACTCCGCGCGGCCTTTCATGCCTTGGACTCTCCTTATTCTTGTGCCTCGGCCTCTCCGGGCGCCCTTGGACAAAACCCCCAGAGCCCGGCCGCTCCCTTCCGGCTAAATCCCCTTCGGGGTCAGTGCGCTACCAGCACCGGGGCGCGCGCCTCTCCTGCCAGCCGTGTGGCTCTTAAAGAGCCGCACCCCCCCTCCGCCCTGCGCGCTCCCTCGACCCCCGCCTCCCCTCCCTCTCCTCCTGATCTAGCCCCCCACGCCGACGCCTGAGGTCCCTGCTGCCCCGACAGATGCCTGCGGACTCCCAGCCCCCTCCCCTCGCCTCCTCCCCTGAGCAGCAGTGGGCCTGGCCTCGAGGCCACAGGGCTGAGTTCTCCCCTCTGCCTCGGGTTCCCTTTCTCACCAACAGCTTCCACCCTTCGCTCCTCCGCCCCTACTTTTGCCCTTTGGGTGGATCAAGGCCTGGGCACCGCCTTTGCCTAGCTCAGAGATGATCCCTAAAGATTGTCAGTTTAGGCTTGAATTAGGGGGTTATAGGATGGGAAATGATGCAGGGCATGCCAGTGGAGCTAGGGAGAGAGAAAGGAAGAGGAGGGGACACGATGGATTTAGAGGATTCTGCTATCCCAGGGCCTACCTGGCCTTTTGGCAGAGGGTAAGGGCTGATCCCTTCCCACTCCTTCCCAGAGATGGTCATCCTCAAACAGGGTCCTGAGGTTACCAACCTGCCCAGGCCCACTGTGTGTCTGAGGGATTGTGGGGCAGGTATGGGGGTGGGGGTGGGGGACTCCAGAAGGCCCTGCATGTGGATCTGGTAGCAGTCTGCTTCCCAAACCCAGAGCATTAATTCCCCCAAAAGTAACCTTTAAGGACCCAAGAGCTGGGTATGCAAAGAAGGAGAGGAGACCTTGAGTTCCAACTGTCGAGGGAAAAGGATGTCAGAGGAGAGAGAAAATAGAAAGAGAAGGAAGTCTACTTTTTGAGGACTGAGCACAAATTCCTAATAGTGTTTCTTATATTTACTGGCCAACCATGTCACCTGCCCCATCAAGAAAGGAGGAAGTAGATGATTGCTTTGGTTCCCTTTCCTTCCAGAGCTGTGCCCCTCTGCCTTTCTCCCAGGCCTGTATCCAGCCCAGTCTCACCCTAGCAGCCAGCCTACCCCTGTCCAGGGTGGCTATGCCTAGGGTACTTTCTTCCCAGCCTTCCCAGGACTAGAAGCATGATTAAAGAGAGACCACAGAAGGGATGGTTCTCTTGAGTAGGGGGTGCAGGATAAGCCATGGTACCCCACCTTCCCTACTGCCAACTGTCATAACATTTGACTGTTTGACCTCTGAACATGGGAGAAGCAATGATGGGGCTGCGCTGCTTGTCCTTTCTCAAATTCAAGCCCTAGCACACCAGTTCTGGATGTCAGAAGGGATCTTTGGGAAGTGTGTGGCTGTGAAGACCAAAGGAATTTAAGGAGAGAGGAGGATGGAAGGCTGACCCTCCCCTGGGCATCTGTTCTCTGGCACCCCAATGTTAGTCCAGATGCACCTTTAAGGAACTGGGGTGACTAATTGATCTGCAATTGGGTCTCTTGGGAGAGGTTGGCAGTGTACTCCCTGGGCTAGATCCCCAGGCCGCAATATGTCTCACATCCCCCAAGCTTCCAGGCCCTCTCTCTTGGGGTTGGGTCACCACAGCTGGCTAGGCTGGGTTTGTGCCCACCCTCCTGGGTCTGGCAGTGGGAGGTGCTGTGGTTCAAGACAGAGCTAAACTTCCCTTGTTGAGGATGTGTGGGGCGGAGGGGCCTTTAGCGGGCGGCGGGGCTCATTAGGCAGAGCAGGGTGCTGAGAGGTGCGCGCTGCCGGCCCCTGAGGCCGCCTTTGAGCGGCCAGGGAGGCTTCATTAAGCGGCGCTAACAAGGCGTACAAATGCCAGGCCCAGCAGCTTTCTTGCAATGCTGGGGCCTTAGCAGGGCGCCGGGCTAATGAGGGTCACTCAAAGGGGCTGATCAAATATTCAAATTTCCCCGCACGCCAGGAACTTTTATGCATGGAGAAAGTTGAGGCAACTGAGCTGTGTTTACGGTCCTGGGCGACAATTGCTAGGAGCGCCCGTCCCCGGAGGCTAAGACAGGGGGGCCGTGGGGCGGGGGCGCAGGGAGGGAGTAGTTGTTGTTGTTGTTGTTTTTCAAAGGAAAGTAATGGGGTCCTTGAAGGGCTTCGCCGCCTCCCCGCCTGCGTGCTGCGCTCCCCTGCGCCCTCCCTGGCCGCCAGCGCCAAGCGCCTCAGTTTGCAGCTTGCGGGGAGGCCCAGACTGTGGGCCACCCGGCCAGCTCCCGCCTTCAGACATCCTGGGAACTGGAAGGGGCGTTGCCTCCCCCAGGACAAACCTTCCCCGGGCCGACTGGGTCTTCGATTTAGAGCTGAGCTGCGCTGATTGGGTGCAGCTGCCCCAGCCCTCCAGATCCTTCTTTTCCAGAGGCCCGAAGACCCACTGGCTTTCCCCGTAACCCGAAACAAGGAGAGAGTGGGATGTCTCTCAGGCAATTCTCCTGATGGAGTCCAGACTTTCCCAGTGCTGGGCTTGGGGCTATTTGTAGGTAAATGCCCAGTAGGTCGTGGTACAAGGAGAACACTCTTCAGCCTAAACGCCCTCTTTTCTCCCTGCACCACCTGAACGCTGTCCTTCCGATCCCCGGGGCCAGGATTGAAGCGGGGATGATGGCGGCAATTTTGTTCTGCACAGGTGACTCGGCCTGTATGGGCGGCAAGTAGCAGTTCCCGCAGTCTGAGCAGCCGGAGGGCAGAGGAGAGACCTAGAGGCTCCGCGGGGTGACCTATCCACCCAGGGCTCACCGCTCTGAGGGACCCAGGGTGCAGGTGCCCTCCGCGCGCCACCCCTCCAGGAGTCCCCCAGGCTCACCTCCCGGCCTTGGCGCTGCTCGATAGCTTGGTTCCCAGAGCAGCGAGGAAGACGGCTTGGGGCCTGGAACCCAAGGTCCCTCTTCTCCTACCCCCAACCCCCGCCCCAATGCCTAGAGCCTGGGAATGTGGGAGGGGAAGCTCTGGTGCTCCACAGCCCCCCCTTCCCACCCGGACACACACAACGCCTCTAGACTGAGACCCTGAGGAGCCTGAGCCCCCAGCCCCGCCAGGAGCCAGTCCCGCCATCCGTGCTGAGGATCAACTGCCCCGCCTCCCTGCCCAGCTCCCGGGACTCTCAACTTACCGGCTCCAGGCGGCGGGCGTGGTGCTTCGGCCAGAGCCGAGAGGCTCTGGCGACGGCGGGACCGTGAGGTGGGTTGGGCGGGTGGACTGCGTGGAGTTCGGCTTTGCAGGGAGGCGCGGACAGCTCAGGGCTGCAGTCCACCCCGCCAGGTCCCCGCGCACAAAGCTGCGCGCCTTGCAGCCGCCCTCTGCCCGGTTTTGCGCTCCCGAGCCGCGGCCAGCACCGGAGCAGGCGGGGTTCGGCGGGTAGGTAGACGCCGGGGCAGAGGCTGGGGGGCGGGGGTGTCGCCGAGCGGTGTCTCAGCCCCACTTGCCTCAATTCTCCCTGAGTGACGACGGTTTTCGATTTCAGCTTTCGGCAGGGCTCTCGGCACCTGCCCAGCCTCTCTCCGGGGCTGGCCCAGCAGCGGCGGGGAGAGGCCAGGTCGCCCCCACCAGGAGGCGGGGGTTGCGGGGACGGGGAGGGGACTGGCCGGGTTCATCCGCCCGCCCGGCGCCTGGGTCCCCGGCTCCAGGGGATGCAGTTTCGGGGTCACGAGCTGCTTTCAAAAAGTTGAACACAATATTCGGAAACCCACCCGTAGGAATTCTCCCCCCACACGCGGCACAATACCCACTCCCCTCCCCTTTTTCATTCCTTCCTCCCCCGCTTCCTCCTCCTGCCCCTTCTCCCTCCCACCCTTCAGCCTATAATCCTTCCCTTACGAGAGAAAGAGAGAAAGGGATCGGGAAGAAAAGATGAAGTGTCTGTTTTTGTGTCCCAACCTTCGGGCTCTTTCTCGGCCCGCAGTGAACGACCGCCCAGAGCTTCGCAGCTGAGCGGAAAAGGACTCATGGTCGGGAGGAAGATACCTGGAGGAGAGAGAACACTGAAATGGGCTTGGCCTGTCTTACCTTTGGGGGAATATTTTTCTGCCCTAGTCATCAGGTTTAGGACCAGCTACCCTCCCTTCCACCCCCCACCAACATCCCCTCTGCTTCCGGCCAAGAGAGCCAGTTTGGGCCCCTCGCCCAACCCAGAGCCTCCCTGCAGCCTGGAGCTTCCAAGGCGGCTTACACTTCCCCGCCCGCCCTCAGAGGCCTGGCGCTGCGGGAGTCAAGGCCTAAGCAGGGCCTGAGCTCTGGGTTTAGGGGCTGGGACACTCAGCCCCAGTCACGTTAGGTTTCCCATTTAAATTCTCTCCCAATCTCTCTTTCTCTCTCCCCTCATTGAGATCTCCAAAGTGGTGTGGACCCGGCGCCTCGCCCCCAGATCTGCATCGGAATGCAGAAAAGATCTTTTTTTAAAAACAAGTTTTGAATTCCTCAATGATTTTTCTTCTGGAAAGGCAGCTTAGGATAATTATTTCAGCTTTATTGAGGGCAGATTAGTTGAAGTCTGGGCGCTGCGTTTCAATACGCGTTGTACACGGGCCGACAATGTGGGCATTGTTGGCTACTGTGTGTGAATCCATTCAACATATACACTTTTTAACACCAAACCAAGTCCTGTCTAAATATACACAGTGCGTGGGGAAAGACGTCTGTGACCCCGACAAATCTGCGTAAATCACACTTCCATAGTTACAGAAGCC